CCGAATGAGGACTTAAACATTAAAAAAATGATAGGCAGTAGCATACTTATATACTGGTTCGCACCAGGGTTCTAAATTAACTTTTTTAACACCAGCCAATCAGGATTTTCATAGCCATATGCTTTTTTTTTTTTTTTACTTTATTTTTAACAGAGCTTTTTTATCTACCTCGACTTGTCTTATCCTGGTTGCACTCTAGAAAGTCGTGTGAAATCGAGGCATTCACGCTGGCAATGGCTGTATATAAACGTCATTATCTAGTGTTAGGCATAGTATTTATTGGAAATGGACAAGTCACTGCTCGAGGTACAAATGGCAAACACATACAAAACAGCGTGGAGGAGGTTTGCACATCGTTTGAATATCATTCCGGTTCCAATTTCGGGTCTTTCTTACAATTCCGGTTCCAAACAAATCTCAATTTGGATTCTTTTGAGGGGTCCAAATTATGTCCATTCATTTTTAGCATCTCAAAGCAGAGACCAAAATAACATTTGACATGGACTGAGTCATTTGGCCTGCACTATATAACAGTCTTTACCTTTTACACTGAGTGGCATGGCAGGAGAACAAGAAGATTGTTTTCATTTCTCACTTCGTTGTTTTCAACCAATCGGTCATCATTCGATAGGCCATACTAAAATCTTGAAAAATAATTTTTTGCTTTACCGACCTATCTGTTTTTTTTTCAACTGTACAATATATATAAAACAAAATATATTGTAGTTCTCCAAATGTATCCCTATTAATGTTTCACTTTTTGAATAACTTTACCATGAAGTTCTCAGGGGGTTATTTTAAACCAGGATTAATATCAAATTGATCAACTTGAATTTATAAGATCTTACTTAATTACCGGTACTTTCCCTAGAGAACTGCATTTTTGGCACCTTAATGAAAATAAGAGTGTAAATGAGTACGGTACTACACTGAGCTCCCACTGATTGGCTGTGTAGGCAGACAAGTTCAAATTAGAAGAAGGAACAGTGCGTGTTTACAATGTGCATGTTATGGACACACACACTTGTTTGATAGAGAAAATACGGTACATATGCTAATGTTCGCTGATTATTGGCATTTGAGTGGACCCACTGCTTCGCTGTTGGAAGTGTCAATGTTGCCAACGGACTCATTTAATTTTCTAACTCACCCAATTATGACATGGAAGTTGAGCGTGCTCTCGTCTTTGGCATTGAGCGGGAGGCGGCACCAAGACCGTCAGACACGGCAGTCTGTTAACCTTTACAAGTCATGGAACATCCTTGCACAATATAACCTTTTTGTAAGTGCTGCACTCAGGCGACATTTAGTGATTTAGTTTAACAATGTTAAAACACACTTGTGATCTGTGAGTGGTACCCCTGCACATGTGCGCACTTGGTTTCTATTTATAAGAGCCCAACCCAAGTTATACTGTATCTGACGGATACAACTGTCTCATGAATCACCAGCCAAACTGGCTGGTAAGTTTTGATCAGCACCTGCCGAAATAAATTTGAACTTGCATTTGTAATAATTTAGAACCCTTGTTAGCCAGAGGACTCGGGCTCAAATATCCACTGGAAGACATCTTTGTGAGGAGTTTGCATGTTTTCCCAGTACTTGTTTCTCTGGGGACTTCTTTTCAGAAGCACAGTCAAAATCAGAATCCTGTTTATTGGCCAAGTATGTATTTGGTATTTTTGTAACTAACAAACCCTAAAGACATGCCATTAAGGCTAACTCCAAACTGTAAATTGTCCAAAAGTGTGATTGTCAGTGTGAAAGTTTGTTAATTGACTGACTGAAGAGACCAATCCAGGGCATACCTTCAATGTTGTGGAATGTGTTTTTCAATTCAGGTTTTCGAGGGCTTCTATCGCATCAACCAATAAAAGGCATTATTTGCGCTTGGCAGAGGTCACCCAACTGAGGACATTGGTGGTGTGAGTATGCTCTTGAAATAGTTTCGTGTGTTTTTTCGTTATTGTTTAAAATTTTTGTTTTCTGGCAACCAAATGACTTTTTGGTAATATTTAACATATTCCCAAACTCAGCAAATTTTGCTTTTGTATTTTGGTGAAAAGGTATGTATTTCAAGGGTCCCGAAATTGATCATTTCAAGTCTAAGTGTAACAAAACGGTAAATCAAAGTATGTAATTAGCAATTGTGTCAGAGTGAATAAGTATCAAAATAATATTAAAACCCATATTCCACTGATTGGTCAAATGTTTGCTCGTGTTGGCGAAGAAAATAAATGCGCGTTCACTTCAACGTTTGTCAGGATTATTTCAAGATCACAAATGTTGCCAAATGTACGCCAAGAGTTTTAATGGTTTCTCTTGTCATCAGGAAATTTTGAATTTTGATATTCAAAATTCCTTTTCCACAAGAAAAGTACAGGTGAATGTTTGCGACCTTTAACGAACCCTGACAAGAATGCAACCTTCGCTACCTTCGCTAACACTCACAAACGTTCGACCCTCAGTGGGATATGTGCTTAACATTTTTGTGAGTCGCGGTGTTTGTCACATTTTAGCGAAGGGCGTGCGCATCAGTAAATGTTGCCGGTCTATCATTGACCAGCAGCCGGGTGACCGTCACTATCAGCTCTATTTGATTTTTTTTTCACATTTTTTTAGGCCCGTCTGATTCATCATTTTCTCCATATTCTCCTTCTTCAGTTGATCACACATCAGTTGACAAGGATAATTTCATGCCCCAATGAAAACGTGCCAGCTTAGTGGGTAGTGCAGGAGCACCAGAGGTATTGCTTTATTTCTTTGCTTCACTGGTTCAAGTACCGCTCTGTGCCTTTATTTTTTTTAACTTTATTTTTAACTATGTTTATCATATCTTGCAGCCAGTCGGGAGCTGTAAACCAGCCATTTTGTTTCACGTGTGTATTGAAGAATTAAACAATTTCAATATAGTGACGAATCTGCAGAAAAGAAACACAAATTTACTGGGCTGACCTTGCCCTAAAGACCTCAGCTGGAATCAGGGGCCAATTGAGCAGTGGGTGCAGCATGGTTCAGCGATAAGAGTGGTCGTCTTCTAACCCAGAGCTCGGGGATTCGATCCCCAGCCATTGCTACTGTGTTGAAGTGTACTTGAGCAAGATACTGAAGCCCCAGTCGCTCCTGATGCTGCATCATCAGTAAGTGAATGAGGTAACAATGTGAAGCACTTTGAGTAGCCGAGGTAGAAAAGCACTATACAAGAGAGTGACAGCCCATTTACCATTTAATCTGGAAGCCAGTTGAACCGGGACGACCAGAAAAAGGAGCAGGCTTGGAGAATGGGATCCAAGATTTCATTAGCAGGCAAAACAAACAGGTACGTCACCAGATTGACTGGGACATTTCATTTTTTCATGTCCTCTCGGCAGATGTGGAGCCCCTCCTCCAATCGAATCTTGGTGTATTCACTCCCATGTACAAACACAGCGAGACACGCGGCGTGTTTCCGTTCGTCGTCAGCATAACGGGAGTCCGTCAGTGATGGAGTGACAAGGTCCATCAGTACTGTCCGATTAGTGGCGCGTCCGGTGACAGTCGAAAACCCCTTTTCAGCAGTACTGTCATACGCCAACAAAACAGGCGTCTGTCAACTTAGTTCAGTCAGTTCGGCCAAAATGTCCACCAGTGATGTAAGCATTAGTTATGCTTCTGTATGTGTAGATACAAGTCTAGTGCAAACAAGAGGGTTGCTGAGTTTTATTCGGAAATTTAGAATATTTTACTACTACCTAGTGTGACGTGGTGTGAAGACACAGAGCCCTTGTTCTCTTCTACATAGCCATGCCCATGACACAGAGATCTCAAATGCTTGAAATTGTCAGTTATACAGTATTGATCAAACTCTCTCTGATTTGTAAAGCCAGTAAAGAGCTTGGCTTATATTCAGAATCATGACTGGAATATTTATTTTCTGTGTGGTGTCTGTATTTGCCGCATGTCTAATATATATATTGCAAGGGCTGGCGGTAGGCTCATTATAAAAACAATTAATTTAATCTACAAGACACAGTGGTGTAAAGCAGGGGTCCCCAACCGCCGGTCCGCGGACCGGTACCGGTCCGCCGGGCATTTGGTACCGGGCCGCACAGAAAGAACTTGCCTTAATTCCGTTTTATTTCGGAATACGAAAGATGTTTTATTTTGAAAAACTACCGGATTCTCCATTACATCCGTCTGTGTCACGCTTGACAAGCGTCAAGCCACGCTTCTCCTTCACGTGACCGATTACTTCAAAACAAAACGCAGGAGCTCGCAAAATGAGTAAAAAAAACTGCTGGAGATCGCAAATGACGGCGGCCTTAAAAGTACGTTCGAGACAACTGGATTAAAGTTATGGCTGAATACTCTGAGATCGCCACAATAGCACTGTTGCTATTTCCGACATCCTACCTGTGTGAGGCGGGGGGTTTCTGCAGCAACAGCGACGAAAACAAAATTACAAAGTAGACTGGACATAAACCACACACTTGAGGTGTCATTGTCTCCTATTACCCCGAGATGGGACCGTCTGGTTGCAGAAAATCAAGCTCGGTGCTGTGGTGAGTCGTCATTTTCATGCACTTTGAATTTGCGTTGTATCGTATTTTGAAGGCATTAAACATTGCCATCGCGATCGGAGTGTTGCGGCCAGATTAGACGCTCCTTGTGTTTATTATTATATTTCGAAAACGCCACAGTTTTCATGCAGCTCATACCATACCATGCGATCGGAGTGTTGCGGTCAGATTAGACGCTCCTTGTGTTTATTATTATATTTCGAAAACGCCACAGTTTTCATGCAGCTCATACCATATTATTTTGTTGTATTATTTCCGCCACACCTTAAATGCCGGTCCCTGAAAATATTGTCTGACATAAACCGGTCCGTGGGGCAAAAAAGGTTGGGGGCCCCTGGTGTAAAGTACATTCTTCAAATATGGATTTTTTTTCTCCCAGTTTTTTTTTTTCTGAGTACATTTGGGACTTCATGAGCTACAAAAATAAAAACAAAGATTCACCTCTGCACAAGTTGTCACCGTCTGGTTCATACCCGGCCTTGCAGCTGCAGCTGCCAATGGGTACCATCCACTCTCCATCGCCGTTACAGTAAAGCTTTATGGGCACATCCACTTCCTCTGCATTGGGGATACAACTTCCTCTGGCAATGACAAGTGATGTGGATTCTGCTCCAGTAAGTGTCTGGAAAGATGCATATAAATAATTCACCTCAAGTCCGGTCCACAAAACTATGCTACCAAAGAAAAGAGCAACTGGGTACATTCCGTACCTCTGGGAAGTAAGCAAAGTTCTGAACTATGCTGGGACATTTTTTGTAGAAAACTCTGACGGCAAGGAGGGACATACAGGCTCCCAGATCCTGGAAAGCCAAATGAAAGCCTTTTCCTTTGGAGAGTGGGCCAAAACTTCGAACTTCTGTGTTCACCTTCATCAACCTCCCGCCAAAATCGACTTGGGAAAAACTCTCATCTGCGGCAATGGTGTCCACCTATTGGAATCAGACAGAGTAGGTGAACCAGCAAAAGCATTAAGTACTGTGCAGGTCTGTGCACTTGCAGTGTTGTTTGAATTAACTTTTAAACAAAAGTAGGACAAATATCAAGAAATTGCAACACAAACAATCGAAAACAGCTATCCATAAAACTTTGTAGAGGTGTTGTCCTAGGTTATTTGATTATTTGTTGGAAGCAATAGCTCCTTAACAACTGACCTGTCCAATACAGGCTACTTGATCGAGGCAAAATACACTAAATACAATGATTGTAGTGGTGAGGGGTCCGTCAGATATTCCATTTATTGAGAGATTGGAGCAGCTGGTGAGGTGAACAGCTTGCTGTCGATACCAACGCTTGTGTTACCCCTTTGTTACTGAACACCCACATTTGATGTAATATTGCACACTGGGGTGATGTAGCAGCACACAATGTATATTGAGGTAACATGCTACCAAGACTTATGGGTTCAGCGCTGCTATTTTGAATAATATGGTTCCTTGATTTACAAGTTCTTTTTATTTCATGACCAAGTTTCCAACTCAAATTAGTCAAAAATCAAATCAAATTTTCTCATTTAAATCAAATCAAAGTCTTTTATGCCACGTCGGAATTTTTCAGATTTATGTTTCACTCTGGGACATGAGTTACATTTTGGGGGGAGAGTTATTTGACAAAAAACCTAGACTAAGAACAGTAGAGACCGAACTGGCACCCAGAATCCCTGTTCCCTAATCGTGGCAGCGAACGAGTTCCGGTTAGAAATTTTCGCTTCTAAAAATGAAAGCATTCTTCTTTTTAATTTAAAGATAGCTCAACTAGAATCCTGCTTCGCATTGTGGCCAAAGGGAGAATCCTGGTCATTTATTTGGTCCTTTTGCTTTTATAAATAGGGTGATTGTCACAAATATGTGTAAAGCAGGATTAGGGAAATCCAGTTACTCGAGAGCCATATCCTGCCTCTTTTAGATCCCTCCCTTCTCCAACGCACCTGATTCAAACGATCAGCTCATCAGCAAGCTCTGTAGAAGCCAGAAACAATCTGATCAATTGAATTTGGAGAGTTGAAGTAGGGAGAGATCAAAAACAGTTAGGAGATGGCTCTCTAGGAAACTGAGTTCCCTACGCATCGTGTAACCGGTGAGGTCTTACTCTTGCGGTGTCAACCCAACTCGGGGCTCAAACCGCGCTGCCACCAAATCTCCGGTTTGGGAGCACAGGGGACAAGTGAGTTATAATTCCGGTCCACCAACTCAGCTCAGTTCCGTATTTGAAGGAACACAAATTGAGGTTTTACTGACGTACTAAGCGACCTACATTTTTCTTAAAAATATATAATAATAATCATAATCATAATAATAATAATAAGTGGCTGTGAGACTGACGGGGCGCAAAAGCTGTGGTGTACACCAACACAAAACACACATTAACTAGTTGGGAAGTGGTGGTTCATAACACAGGCTGTATTCTGAAATTAATGGGAGACGAGAGTCAGTCCTGATTCCTAAACACACGCACGCACGCACGCACGCACACACACACACACACACACACGCACACGCACACGCACACAAGTCCACCTGAGGATAAGACACAGGACACACTGTGAAAAAAAATTGGACAATAGTAATCTAAGGATGTGAAATCAGTCATGTTGGCCCTTGACCACGCGATTAGTTGATTACGAGCGTCTGCTCCTTGTATCTGGCAAGTGTTTAACATTTGGTTTGTGTGTGTTTGACTATTTGTACCGTTCAGTAAACAGCTGAAAGTGCATCGGCTCATGTGCATCTCAATTTGTTTGTCACTTCACTGGAATGGCAGCATATCTTTAAACCTATTTTGACTTACAGCACATGTAAACATGTAAGTTGTATGCAATTACCTTAAGAAAGGGGGCATTTGCCCAGTATTCAACCCCTCGGATGCCCTCTGACACAGCCCTGTCTGTTTCCAGGTAGTAAAGGTTGAACGTCTCTTTGCAGGAGCCAAGGACACTGGGGATGGAGGCACAGTCTCGTACAGTGAAGCGGATTTCCACATAGATACGCAGTGCTGCCCGTCTGTCAACGTATGTGGTGAGGAGCCAGTTGTTCTGGCTGGGCTCGAACACATTGCACACTTGATACGTCCTGATGGTGTTGAGGTTCTCATCATAGCCACTCACCTCCTCCCACTGGGGAAAATGATAGTGTGTCAAACAAACAGGCAGGCGGGTGGTTGGAATGAGTGTGGACAGAAAGAGAGAGGAGAGAGGAGAAGCGAAACCATTAATGTCTTTCCCTAAACCTTGATACACATTTAACTGAGTTTTCTCGTCATCTGCATAATTTCCCTCTTCTCAGTCTTGTTCATTGCTGCACCGTATTGTGCATCTACTGTATTATCAGCAATAGACATTTCAAACACACAAATCATCACCTTAGCTGAGGCTGACTAAAATATCTCATGCGGTTACCAACGGTGGAATGATGCATTTGTCTGACTTGCATGCAGGTGGTGTGGCTTCAGTTCCCACTCAGTGACGGTGTGAATGTGAGTGTGAATGGTTGTCTGTCTCAGTGCCCTGTGATTGAGTGACAACCCATTCAGGGTGTTGCCTGATTTTTGCCCGATGCATGCTGGGATTTGCTCCGGCTCTCTGGATAAGAAAATGGAATAGATGGAACATCTAATGAGTGAAAACATGATTCGCTGCAACAGAAAATAAGGAAAAAAGATCCAGAGGGCAGCCTAAGTGATATATTTTTCATCTACAAAGAAAAAATAGGGCTGTGTCTGTCTTTATGTTCGGGTCGGCTAGTGCTCCTCGCGATGGCGATGTTGCCGGCGTCAACGATTTAAAATCGCATATTCAGTTTAAATGAATCTCTCCTTTTATTATTTATAATTTTATCTGTGGTTTTATTGTTCTTGTTTTGATTGTAAAGTGTCCTTGAGTGTTTTCAAAGGCGCTTATAAATGAAATGTATTATTATTGTTATTATTTATTTTATAAGCTATAGATGAAAAATAATACTATCTATGCAAATTTCGGAAAAAAAGTTGGAGTCGGCCCAACGCTTGCACATTTTGAGTAACCTCCAAATTTCACTGTCACTATTGTGACATGAGTTCTTGCATGTAAGAAAATGCATTTTGGTGGTTTCCATTTACAATACAGTCTGGGGAAAAAAGTGGATGGGGTTGCAGACTGCAATTCTTTCTTTAACCCTTTCATGCACCAATAACAAAAACCTGTAACCTGATAACATCATAAACTGTCAACTGTAGTAACCGCTGTCCCTGAAAGGGTTAAACTTGTAGCAAACGCGAGAACGCCATGAAGTTTCCAATTCCAGCATCTCAGCCGGTGACATCTATGATCCTGGTGTGATCAATTCTGGTCGCTGGAGTTCTTCAATCTTGCCCCTCTCTCTCATCTATAAACAGCTTCACACAGCATGTTCAACAGAATGCAATAAATCTCAGCAACTATATGCTAAATGCCAAGGTAAAGAGCAAAAATTATGAATGAGAAAAGACTTATGTGTATATAATTTAATGTGTGTATTCATTTTTGTCATCATTGTGCTTTATGTTTTAAGTACAGGATTTGATTACATGCTGCCATTGCTGTAAAAGTGCTCCAGAAATTTAAGTTGAGCTGAGTTAAAATGAGATTTTGCATTTTTTTTGTCTTCAAAATAAAACAGCACTTTCATGGAATGGATCTGAAGATTTGTTTGCATTTCATTAGAGCACTAATATAATACTACCAATCCTGTTTCATCTTGAAGTGTACTCAAACTATTCAACTTTTGGCACACAACCATACTCACACTCGCATATCCATTCTCAAAACAAACAAACAAAAAAGGCTCATACGCCATTGGCAGGGAATGAGATCCAGCCCAGCTCAGCCGTCGCTGTCCTCGTATCCATCACTGTATCTGTCACAAAGAAAAGAGGACAGAATGGTTGATTACATTTATAATTGAAGCAAGATTGATTCAATAACTGAATACAACTGTGTAAATAATCCTTTAACATCTTATTTCAACAAGCTTGCATACTTTCATAAATAGTGTGTGTTGGAAAGGATGGCCATGATATTTAATTATTCAGTCAGTAGAAATTCTGTCTATTGTCTCTAATTGATCACATTTTAAAGCAGAGTGCACCGTGCACTGTTTGGCTACTACCACTCATCCTCACGAGGGTCGCGGGCATGTAGAAGCATATCCCAGTTGTCTTTGGGCAGTGGGCGGGGTCCACCCTGAACTGGTTGCCACACATAGACAAACAACCATTCGCGCTGATAATCACACCAAGGGACAATTTAAGAGTGTTCAATAAACCTACCGTGCATGTTTCTGAAATGTAAGACGAAACCGGAGTATCCGGAGAAAACCCACGCAGGCATGGGGAGAATACTCAAACTCCACACAGGAAGGGTGAAGCCCAGAATGAAACCCTGGACCTCTGTACTGTGAGACAGACGTGCTCATTATTCTAGTTCCAACTATCTTGTGGTCTGAAGAACAAATTTGTTGAGCTACAACTTCCATTTCCATTTCCCCCTGGACAGTCCCAGGCAATAATTTAATATTAATATCGTATCACAGCATAATATTTGAAACTGCCTTTCGTCATGAGAACACGTGCATCAAATCTTATGTTGTTAAATGATTAGTATCCAAGTCAAAACATGAACAACAAACACAGAATAAACTCAGTGGCCAGAGAATTATGTACACTAGGGAAATAAAATACAACACATGGACAAAAAAGTAACACCTCAGTGATACAGCTGACCTAAGTTAGACATTACGCAAAGCCCCCAATATACAACCTTTCGTATAGTAAAGCATGGTGAGACAACGACATCTCACTGAGAGGGGGCCGCAGGCAAACAAGCCACTTGATTCCTCACATGCCCTCCTCCTCCTCCTACATTTGTTCATGCTGTCACCCTGCTTCTCATTATCTCCCTTCCTCCTCACACCCTCCCCACCTTCATCCTCTCCTTCACTCTTCTTCTCTTTTATCCACCCCCTTCACTTTGGGTGTCTCTGTTTTTGTCAGTGAGCTTGCCTAATTACAGCAGAATCAGCTTTTTTTTCTCAGCTCTCCCTAGAGAATGAAGGTCGTTTGGGGAAATGAAATGCTTGTCACGGGGAATGTATTCCACTATCAGAAATCACAGAGCAAAGCTTATTCAAACAGTAACAATTGTCACCATCCAATTTGTAGCTTCAGTGCATTTAGTGATGTCTTGTCACCAAACATTCTGTGAAAAAAAAAAAAAAACACTGTAAAAAATGTAGAGGAGGTCCTTCTTGGTATTCGTGTAATTCTTGGTCTTCTCCTCGACCATTCCAAAGGTCTTTGTGGTTGGTGTACAAAGAACAAGCCTAAAACATTCATGTCACAATTTCAACATAAGAAATCATAGAAGTATTATATAGCAGCAATTTTCAAAGAGGGCTTTTGGTTCAGGGCTTGGCAGGGAGAATAATAATACGCATTTATATTTTATGCTGCTCCGCAACCCAGACCATTTTAGTGAGGATTTGTATCAAGGAATTTAAATTTACCCTTTGAATCACGATGACATCTGAGGACTGAAGAGTGGTATTTCACAAGCTATTTAGTATGCACAGCTGTAGACAGATATGGGAAACAAACAAACAGACAAACAAACAAACAAACAAACAAACCTCCAGTCCATACCTTTAATCTTGTTTGGAGAGAGGAGAGAACTAGAATCTTTCTCAGCTGACCGGACACAAAGTGGACAACAGAGCTTATTTTATCGCCACTGAGCTAATTGTAGTAATACCGCTATCCACCATACAGTGCTTTTTCTAGAACCTGGTCATCCGCGTTAAGAAATGAGGCAATACTGAGTGGATGATGCGATTGCTTGACGCTACATGGCAACAAATGACAAGAACAACGAAACTGCTGAAGCGTAGAAAAAAAAATAGTGTGTTTCCGGTAACCCGACCGACCGAGAATTTCTACCTCGTCAGAAATCAGGTCAACATGCCAGTTTTCAGAGGCCTTTTATTTGAAAATGCAACATCGGATCCGGACGAGGGTGGTCTGGGTGGAGAGCCGGGGTGCTGTATTCCTTCTTTTAGGATGTTGTAAAAATGGGCGAAAAGATCAACATGTTCGAATGCAGGTCATGTCAGAACGCAGGCCATCTTGTCACTTTTCAGAGGCCGACATCAGATCGGAATGAGGGTGGTCTGGTTGGATACCTGGAGTGCTCTCGTGTCCCACACGCCTGGTTTGATTGAGGGATAACTGAAATTCATTTTTAAGAATCTTTTGAAATAAGGAGAGGAGCTCAAAATGTCATATTTGAGAGGCATTTTAATTGGTGATGGAACATTCGATCTGAACGCCAGTACTCTGGTTGTACACCTGGCGTGCACTTGTGTGTCGACAACCTGGTGTGGTTGCGCAATCACCCAGATTTATTGTTTTAATGCTTTTTTTTAAGATCAAGTGAAATTGATGTAGAATCACCATTGACTTTATTTTCTATCTCCATTTGAGAACGCTTATTGCTGCTTTTCTGAGAGTTCTTGTTCTTCCTCTGTGAATCTTTACCCGACAGCCAAGAAAGTACTTATTTTCCCAGTTGTCTTTGGGCAGTGGGCGGGGTCCACCCTGAACTGGTTGCCACACATAGACAAACAACCATTCGCGCTGATAATCACACCAAGGGACAATTTAAGAGTGTTCAATAAACCTACCGTGCATGTTTCTGAAATGTAAGAGGAAACCGGAGTATCCGGAGAAAACCCACGCAGGCATGGGGAGAATACTCAAACTCCACACAGGAAGGGTGAAGCCCAGAATGAAACCCTGGACCTCTGTACTGTGAGACAGATGTGCTCATTATCCTAGTTCCAACTATCTTGTGGTCTGAAGAACAAATTTGTTGAGCTACAACTTCCACCATTCGAAAAATAATAAAGAAATAATGTGGTAACTGGAAGTGCATTGTCCTACACTACTGAAACACTCTCATCCACACTAATGAAAACGCTGTCATCCACACTATGACCCCAAGCTCGTACACAAATTTGACACTCTCTCTACTGAGTGGATGATGCGATTGCTTGACGCTACATGACAACAAATGACAAGAACAACCAAACTGCTAAAGCGTAGAAAAAAAGTAGTGTGTTTCCGGAAACCCGACCGACCGAGAATTTCTACCTCGAAAAAAAACTTTACGGGCGGCATTTTTTTTTAAACAACCTTCAAATTTAACACACGTCATCATTAGTTCTACCAACAGTTAACATTAGCATTACTACACCTTGTGACGAATGTTTTATTCATAAAGGT